TTACAGTATGTATATCTACCTCTAGAACTCGTGCTTAAGGATCAATGAACATTGTACGATGGGTCATCCTATGTATCCAAGTCCCTTTTATTGTGCACAAGGGCATGGGACGTGTCAGGACATGAATCTGTGCATTTTTGGGGTCTTTCCCGAAGGAATTGACTATTCCTAGTCACTTTCCCGCGGGTCCTTGACGGGACCTTGGCGGGTCCTTGGCAGGAGCTTGGCAGGCGGACGACCGCCCACCTTGCGCCCACTGGTACAATGTGCTGACTTCTTAACCCCACATTTTATTGATTTGTGGCGCACTTGTGTGCCTCGATTAAGGAATGTGAGTCTTGGGTAAGGAACCATAGACCGCCCAAACATAGTGTCCTACGTAAAAGACCTTGACGCACGAGACACCATTGGGAAATCACAATCAATTACATTGCACGAGTAATTGAAATCGGATCCTACGATACAACCGACTAGGGATGTTTGGCGTAAAGGATTGCGCAAACCAAGGAGGCGAGTTGGGAACTCATACTAAGAACCCACGAAAACCTTAAAAGTCAAAATGCTAAGGAGGGACCGGGACTCCTCCAAACCATGGACATCGTTCGAGCAAATCAGAGAACTCCTTACAAGTTGTATGGAATCAAGAACTACGTAGCCCATGGTGCTAAGCAAAAGGGTGAAGAACACATTCGCGCCAAGACTTCAAGGGTCATTAAGGACCCACAAGGAAATGAGGTGACTCGTAAAGTCGCCGAGTCATCCCATAACGAGATTTGGTAACCGACTGCGCTTTAAAAGAAAAAGGGCACGCACGAACACCTTCATCATTAAAAATAACACAAACAGGGCACAACAATGCCGAACCTCGGGTAAGACATGAAGTCTTACTAAGAATTTCATCCACTAAAGAGGAGATGAAATTCAATAAGAAGAGAAATTCAACCCAAAGTCCATCGACTCCCAAGAGACTTTGGGAAGAATTTGGGAAGTGCGCCCTAAGAGATTGGCTTGGTTGACCCAACTCGGTCAAGACCTTGGGCGCATTAAAGAAGTAAGTGTTGAATCACCACGGGAAATTCCCTCAAGAAAGAAGAGAAGGATGAAACCTTAGCCTGGGAAGCAAGGTCTAACAAGGATCTTAAAGTCAAGCAAGCACCAACACCAAGGAAGGAGGATCATCAGCTCGTCGGCGCATCATGATCAAAGCATCTAACCAGATTATTCACTTGGGATCGAGAAACCTTAACCCATCCTAGCCGAATTCCTTTCCCTCCCTCGGAAAATCGGCCCCTTCCTTATTTCAAAACCCTTTCTACCCTTCAGACCCCATTCTCAATCCCATGTTTTAACGATTCCATACAAGTGGCAACCTCACAACCTAAGTTGCAACCTCAAAAACTTGATCATAATTCCTGATTTCACCGTGTCCTCAAGTTTGAAACCCACTCTCTTAGCCCTGTAAACCTAATCGTTCCCAAAAACCCAACACACATAGGCGTGCAAGTATACAATTTCCCGGTGGAATACCTTCTCTATAGGACCACGGTTCTTCTCTTGTCTCGTTAACCCTGCAATGATTTCCAAGCTTCGGGGACGAAGCTTCTCGTAAGGGGGGAGAGTGTAACACCCCGTGTTACGGCCTTCAATCCCGGATTAATTATTTAATTAATCCCGTTAATAATAATTAAATATGATTTAATTATGTTAGGTTTACCTTTAATTAATTAGTAAGGTCCACCATGAACCGTGGACCCTTGCCCGAATAAGAATCTTAAGCCTGTTAGGAATAAAGGAAGTAGGCCTTTTACTATTCAGATTATGATTAGGATCCTCTTTAATTAATATGGTCCACTATGGACTATGGACCCTTATCCCTAAAACAAGCTCTAGCCCTATAAGGAATAGAATTAGTAAACCCATACCATTCAGGCCCTAACTAGGAGTCTTAAATATATAAATAGGGAACTTAGGAGGCACCTAGAATCCCCACCACAATAATCTCTCACCACCCAAAGAGTTCCAAGAATCCCCTTAGGAGAAATCAAGAAATCAAGAAAGCTTAAAGAAAGATCTTTCATAGCCAAGGAATTAATTAAGGCTAAGAGGTAACCCATGTCTCAACAAAACCTATTTTCATAGCTATGATTCCCCTTAGGGTTTCCCCCATATTATTGTGTGTTGGCGAGATATGATGATGATTATTGATGTTTGACGTGATGATCCCATGAGGGATCTTGATAATCTTGATATTGGGAGATTCTTGATGATTATATGGAGTTCTTGATGATTATGTTTTGTTCTTGATAATTGTGTGATGCTCTTGATGTTTATGTGTTATTCTTACCGAATCTTGCAATTAGAAGACGAACCGTATTCTTGTTGATATAAAAGTGATTAGAACCCTAGGTTGTATCGTATGATCTTATTCTTGGATTATCGGGTGGGGAAATCGCATGTTTGGGTGTTGATTATATTTAGAAAAGCATGATAGGTTATGTGCCGTTCGTTTCTTGTATTTGATTCGTTAATTGTCTACGTGTTGTCGTTAATTGCGTTGTAAAGTGTCTAAGCATGGTTTCGGGTTCCACAACGGTTCCCGGGGCGTAAAGTGTGTGAAAAGAGTCAGTGGGGGGTAGGGGACCCGCCACCTACCCACGGCCGTGAAACACCGCCCGGCAGCGGGTAGCCGGCGGGCGGGCAGCTGCCCGCCGGCAACCCGCTACCCGGAACAGTAATTCTGGTGGGCAGCCAGCGGGTGGCCCCCACTCAACGGCTACCCGCTAGAAATTTCCTCAATTCGGGATCCCGGCTTCCCCGTTTGATGTTCCCCCGATCCCCGTGGTGTCCCAACGGACTCCGTTCATCGTGCCTATGTCTAGTTTGATATTTCGGGTGTCGTTCGTAAGTTTACGAGTCCATTATATTGCATGCTAGTTGAATTGGCATCCCGTTGACCTAGGTGGTAGAAGTATGAACCCCTTAGGACTATTCCTAGTATGTGATGGGTCACGCATAGGTTTTGTTATACGTTTTCTCCCCCTTCCCAATGTGTAATGTGGGTTGCATGTGCTTGCTATGTGTTATGTGTGTGTGTTACCCCAATTCGGTTGCGATCGGATTGGTTATCCTGAGCTGCGGTTCAGAAGCTGGTTGCGGTCAGATTGATACTCTTGGGCTGCGGTCCACCGTTTGGTTGCGATCAAACGTTTCTATACGAGCTGCGGTTCGTCCTCTTTCCTGGCTGCGGTCAGATGACATTCTCTTGGGCTGCGGTCCACTGTTTGGTTGCGATCAAACACTATGATGAGCTGCGGTTCATCGGTCGGTTGCGTTCAACCCTTCCATGTTGCGATACGGAGCAGGGTGCTGCGGAGCCGTGTCAGAGCTATATGCGCTTACCCTCATGTATGGGCATGCGATTGGTCCTGTGGCGCCAACAAAGTGTGCTATGTGTTGTGATATGGATGAGTTGTGATTATGAGTGTCTTGGGGGAATGTGACTATGGGATGTATATTGGGGATTGTTCATGTTGGGTTATGATCATTGTTTATGCTTTGCCTTATCTGCCTTATCTGTTGTGAACTGCATATGCTCGTTATAACTGTTGCTTGTGCCTGGCCTTATCTGTCGAGTCATTCCCGATTTTAAAGCTAGAGTTCGTAGGATATATCTTCATGCTCAAAATGGTTTTCGTATATCTATATATATCTCTATATGTATTGTATTTCAACGCGTTGGAGTGGTTTACCAGCATCTCTCGCTGAACAGATATATTTGGCTTTCAGGCACAGAAGATTAAGTCACTGGAGTGCGCTAGAACTTAGAAGTAGATAGTTTCCCTTTTGGCCTGCGTGCCACGTTTACGTATTTACGCTTTGAGGATATTAGTTAGTTAGCCTGTGCACTTGGGTTCTCTAGCCCAGGTGTGGCATAGCACCCCAAACGCTTGTATTTATATCTTGGGATTTAATGAGATTCTACCTTTATTATAAGTTTTAAAAAGTCTTGAAAATCTGGGGTGTTACATTTTTCGTGTGTGAAAGCTCGGAGATATTGCTCAAGACCTAGATTAACCACTTCAGATTGGCCGTCTGTTTGGGGATGGTAGGCTGTGCTACCTTCAAAGTAGTGCCACTTTGTTTGAACAATTCAGTCCAGAAGTTGCTAATAAAAATTGGATCACGGTCTGAAATGATTGTTGTTGGAAAACCATGCAGCTTTACTACCACCTCAATAAACAAGGTTGCTGTTTTCTCTGCCGTGAAATTGGGGGGTAATGTTCCAAAGTGAGCATATTTACTAAGAACATTGACAACCACCATGATTGTAGTAAATCCTTGCGAGGATGGAAGAGCTGTAATAAAATCCATCGTGATTGTGTCCCAAATTTGAGTTGGTACTGGTAAGGGTTGTAATAAGCTTGCTGGAGCTTGTGTGGAGTATTTGGTCTGCTGGCACACAAGACATGATGCAACAAATCGTTCAGCATCTTTGCGCATCCCCGGCCAATAAAAAGAGTTTGCCAACCACGCAAATGTTTTTGTAGATCCTTCATGACCAGCGTCTGTGATTGAGAGGTGGTGTGCGGCAACTCCATCATGCAACTGTTGGTGTAATTTGATGAGATCAGGTTGTGTCCTGTTATCCTCACGAATAGTGTCAAGGAAGTGTGCACGAACAGTAGAAACAAGAGAGAAGAATGTACTATGCAAGGCTTGAACATCCGAGTCAGGAGTGGGGATAATGGTGAACATCCGAGTCACCATGCAATGTTTTATATTCGATCCGAAAAGAAAACCCCAATAATTTTCGGACATAAATTTGATGATCTGGGGTGTGCACCAACTGTTGAACCAATTCTCTCAGACTCTTGTGATCTGTTCGTATAATAAAAAACCGCCCAAGGAGATATTGACGCCACTTATGTACCGCTTCTACAATGGCATACAACTCTTGATTATATGTAAACTTGGAACACATGCGTGGGCCCAACTTTTTGCTAAAATAAGCAAGGGGGCTGCTCATCCTGAAGCAACACTGCGCCAATGCCAACATCCGATGCATCAGTTTCCACAATAAATATTTTCTTAAAATCTGGCAATCGTAAAACTGGCGCCTTGGACATTGCACTTTTTAATTGTAGAAAAGCAGTGGTTGCTGCATCTGACCAATTAAATGAATCATTTTTCAAAAGATTAGTCAAAGGAGCAGCGATTTTAGCATATCCCTGAACGAAACGTCGATAATACCCTGTTAGGCCTAAAAACCCCCGTAATTGTTTCTGATTTCTGGGTTGTGGCCAGGAAACCATAGCTTCAATTTTCGATGGATCGGCATGTATTCCACTGGCAGCCACGATATGGTCCAAGTAATCCACAGACAATTGGCAAAATTTACACTTATAGAGTTTAACATAAAAAGTGTGATTTGCCAAACACTCAAACACCATTCTGAGATGACGAATGGTATTGCAATGACGAACTATAAATGAGTATGTCGTCAAAGAAAACAATTACGAACTTACGTAGAAAAGGAGCAAGGATGGAATTCATCGTAGCCTGGAATGTTGATGGGGCATTTGTTAACCCGAACAGCATGACAATGAACTCATAGTGACCCTCATGAGTTCGAAACGCTGTCTTATAGATATCCTTTTCATGGACTCGTATCTGATGATACCCAGCACGAAGGTCCAACTTTGAAAAGATCGCCGAGCCACCCAATTCATCAAATAACTCATCAATAGTGGGAATCATAAGAGCACAGTAATCCACACAAAAACGATAAGTGTCGTCTTTCTTTTTAACCAGTACCACCAGAGACGAAAAAGGGCTTTGGCTTGGACGAATTGTACCTTGCTCGAGCATTTCTTTAACCAATTTTTCCATCTCTGATTTTTGAAAATATGGATAGCGGTAGGGCCGCACATTCATCGGCTTAGACCCCGGTAGCAAATGAATTTTATGGTTTAACATTCGATGGGGAGGCAGTGTGTGGGGAGTACGAAAAATGTGCTCAAAAGCATGTATTAGATCCGTAGCTTCAGTAGGGATGCCGGGTGGAATATCCAGTAATTCTGAATGTGAATGTACTTGGATATTCTGGTTCTCCTCCTCAGTTGAGAAATAAAACAATTCATAAATGTCTTCTATACGTCCTCCGTGAAATAAAGCCTGTAACTGGTTGAATGAAACATGTTGAAGATGCATATGTTGGTCTCCCTGAAGGGAAATTAGACGACCTTGCCAATTAAATTCCATAGAGAGTTGAGCATAGTCATGCGTGATTTTTCCCAATTGCTGCAACCATTGCACCCCAAGAACAATATCAGGACCCTGAATCGGCAGCACAAATAAGTCGATAGTAAAGTTTGCCTCTTGCAGGACTAGTGGTACCTCCGGGCAACGAAACTGGCATCTGAGATAATCACCATTACCAATATAAACACGAAAAGGGTCTATCGAAGTGGTGAATAAATTCAACTTCTTGGCAATGGCAGGTTGGACGAAATTATGAGTGCTTCCCCCATCAATCAGAATATGCACGGGTTGACTATTAATCACCCCTTCAATGCGCAGCGAGCGGGGATTAGGGACACTGACAAGAGTATTCAGTGTAGAAATATCAGGCGAGATGGTGATTTCATCTTCAGGACGTATCGGCTCCAAAACTCCCTCTGACTCGTCATCATTGACGCCTAACAACATAAGAAATTTGCAGTTGCAGTGATGGTTGACAGACCATTTCTGATTACACTTGTAACACAAGCCTCTGTTCCGTTTATCACGCATCTCAGCAGCGGATAAATGACGGATAGGTATGTTGGGTAGTGGAGGATTCTGGCTAGCGGTCGATAGAGGACGCGGTTGCGTCAACATGTGGCCGGAGGATGATACAAGATTCGTAAGAACTTGCTGTTGTCGCGAGGCTAAAGGAGTTGGCGTAGAAATCCATTGTTGTCTTGGTCGGTTAGGTTGTTGCAATAATTCATGCTTTCCTGCAAACATTTTGGCCAATGCAAAAGCTTCTTCCAACGTAGCAGGCTTGGCAAGTAATAATTCTTGCTCCAAATATGGTTTTAAACCAGCAATAAACATAGAGATCAACATTTCTTCTGAGATGCCGGTTACCTTGTTCAACAATTTCTCAAACTGACTTTGATACTCTACCATTGTGCCTATCTGAGTCAATTTTGAGAGCTGACCACGATGATCAATAAACTGAGATGGACCAAAGCGAAGTTTTACCTTCTCCATGAAATCTGGCCATGTACTCAACAGGTTATTGTTCTTAATCCAGCGATACCATTCTGATGCGTCACCTTCCATTGCAAAAGCTGCCATGCGTAGTCGGTTGGCGTCGACCACACCATAGAAATCAAAATATTCCTGGATCTGGAATATCCACCCGTAAGGATCAGTACTAGAAAATATGGGTAATTCCAAGCGTATCCCACCAATTGGAGCATGGAAAGCCTGTGGTTCCACGGATGTATGGGTTGGATGGGTGGAGGAATGGGGAAGATTCCGGTTACCAGAGCGATGAGGTGGACGTGACGATAGTGGTGGAGAGTGGATGTTGCGTCGGATGTCCTCCATGGACATGGTTAAGGTTTGGACTTGTTGTGCAAGGTTGTGAATGGTGATAGCATGTTATTTACTAGCAACAGATTGTTGTTCCATTTGGGTCTGAATGTCGGCAATGGATGGTTCAGTCGAGGCTAGAGGGATCCATGAAGCAAAATGCAGTGAAAAAAACAAAGAAGGGTCAATGAAAGCACCAGTGTTATGTACTGAAGTTCTAGTACACAACGAAAGAAACTTTTCGAGCAAGTTTCAAGCTCCACACGTATTCGAGTTACGGTAACTCCGATATGAAAAACGAGAAGGAAGGGAAAAGAGAACTCTATTATTCTGCTATGCTTTTGCAGTACAAAGACCAACATTAAATAGCTTCCTAAGACCATAATTAGCAACGGTAATAAATTAATAAAAGGCAACAAATAAATAAAAGACTAATAATAGGCATAATCTTGGTGCTGAATTGATTTCTTATTCAGCACTGACCTCCTCAAATTATTTCCTTTCCTTATTGATTCTGCTCCATCATCTTCCTGATCTACTGGCTGATATTCTTCTGATTCTTTCTCTGACTGTGATCGTATGTCCTGTGTAATTATTTGTGTAACATAACATTAGGTTAGAATTATTTTATTTTTAGCTTAATTTTGTTTTGTTTTACTTTTAGGATTTGCGCAACAGCCAAAAGAAAAGAAAGAAAAGACGAAAAGAATTAAAAGAAACCCTTTGGGGAATTGTTATTTTGGAGGAGTTTCGGCAGAACACTTACGGAGGAGACGAAAAGCAGAAAGAAAAGAATAGGAGAGAAAATAGAAAGCTTGGGAGCGGCAGCAGCGGTTCGGCGAGGAGATTTCAAAGAAGAATTTTCGAGCTTCAATCACAACTATCATCTCTTAGGCTTGAATTATTTTTCTTCTCTGTTTTATTTATTTCTTGTTTAAATTTCCAGAATAATATTCTTTGAATTGTTTATGCATTTAATTATGATTATTGGCTAGAACTTTAATTAGGGATTTGGATTAGCCTAGATTAGATTAATTGACTATTTTTCTTGTGTTGATTCTTTCAATTTCAGTTTAAATAATTGAACTAGATTATATTTATTTTATGTATTTTAATTGTGGATTGTGTGACTGGCCATTGCATATTTACCATTATTAGGGTTTATAAGAAGAACTGACAGGTGAATTATGAACCAAGAACTCGTAAGATAATCACAATTGACCTAAACTACACATAGATTTAGGTATTTGTGGTGATATTTGATTGTTTCTTAATGGGTTTAATTAATGTTGGTGAGATATCGACGGATGATCACAGTTAATTGGATACAACTTAGTAGCTCGATGGAGTATTAGGATATATTTGAAGCAATCATCACTATAGTCATAAGAATCAATATTTAGGTGTTAATTAATTATCTAATAGGTGAACCCAAATCCCTAGTCTTCTCTTAATTGGAATTTCCTTTGCTTTAAATTCATAAATATTCTTTTTAATTACATTAGTTCTATTTATTTGCATTTTTCCATATCAACAATTTGATTATTTAAGATAACAGTTAATAGTGTTCTTCATGGGATCGACCCTGGAATACTCCAGGAATTTATACTGTGATTGACTCTGTGCGCTTGCAGATTATAGCAATCACCCCACAACGAATTTCTCCACTTTCGTTGTTTCCGTAGGAATCAGCATGTGGGCGAAATGGGCCAACTCTAAGAACCTTTTGTGGTATTCTACCACTATAGAGAATCCTTGCTTTAAGTCAAGGAATTCTTCGTACATCGCTGCTCTCACGTGCGAGGGATAGAAGCGTTCTCGAAGCTTATCCTTCAAGTCTTCCCAGTTGAAACCCGGTTCTTGTCTACAGACTGGACTTTCATGAATCCACCACAAGTCGGCCTCTTGTCCAAAGTAAAACGATGCCAACTCGACTCGGCGCTCTTCCGGGTACCCTATTACCTCAAAGATCTTATCGAACGTACGGATCCATTCCTCAAGTATCGCAGGGTTTTCTTCCCCGGTAAAGATAGGAGGACAATGATTTGATACCTGGCGAGCTACGTCGCGATTCCTATCGGGCGGAGGGTGGTTATTTTTGTTGAGGAGATTGTTACTCAGTGCCTGGGCCATCTGAGTTAATTGATGCAAGTTCTGAGCCAACTGTTCGTTAGTTGACGTATCAGGGGTCCTTGCACGGTTTCTTGGTGGTGTCATCCTAGATTCTACAGGGTTAACATCGGTTATAAATGTGGGTCAGGAGCAGGCACCCTTACCTGGTGTCTTAACTATAAGAATAAAAGCTAGACAGTGGGCAAGCACAGGAAAACTTTAACAGATAGCGATAAATAAACTCATAATCTCACCGCGCGTCCTAAAGTCCTTACATCCTAAGTACTTAAACACCAAGAATTCAAAATTATCATCTTAGATTAGAGTCTTAACCTAAAGGCATTAACCTAGGGTCGAACTTAGGCTCTGATACCAACTGTAACACCCTCGATTTTTTAGCATATTTTAAAACAATTAAAGCTTACGTAATACGATAAAACTATCATTAATACCCAAAATAGAGCAGGAGCTACACATAATAGTTTGGGGGTGCTATGCCACATCTAAGCTAGAGAACCTAGATGCACATGTTACTAACTAACTAACCATAATCTATAAGTATCAATCGAATACAAAACGGCTCACAGGCCATCAAACTAACACTAATTACTAACTAAGCTAGGAACCACAGCTCCGTCTAGCACGCTCACGAACCGACTAATCTGTACCTGAAAACATGCGGTGTAGCAACCGTTAGCGAATAATGCTAAGTAACCCACTCCCACGCGTTGAGTACAATATATATATATATATATATATATATATATATATATATATATATATATATATATATGAAAACCATTTTGAGACTTGGGAATACATAAATATAGTCCTAAACAACTCTAACTTTCAAATCAGGATAAGGACTCACGACATACCACTAATATTGACACGACGCAACAACATTACGATACGAGCATGCTAACTATGGCCACAAGACAAGATGACAATAACAGGCCATAAGACACGACAATAATAACATACCATAATAAGACCACAAGGCATGTCCATGTTCAAACCTTATACCAAGTTCCAACCTTTACACCGCTCCAACCTTATATCAGTTCCAACCTGTACCTCCAGACCACCCTGTACTCCATCAGCCTTATCCCTCCGGAGAAATGCTCCCCTCCAACATGACCTCCAACATACCACTGATCTCTCAGCACATGCAGTGCCATTACATAAACCTGATTGTACCGCAGCACAATGATCTAAGCACACGCAGTGCCAACCTGATCGTACCGCTGCACGATAATCTAAGCACGCGTAGTGCATCAACCAACATATATTTTGCCACCAACACATCATTCTAGACTCACAAACATCAACAAAGACACATCGGGGCACGGGGTTTGACCAAACAGAGACTGAACGACCCCGCACCGGCCTGTACCAATGGGCGGTACGGCGGGTAGACAACCACCCGCCGGCAAAACTGCAACTTTCCAGCGAGTGGACCGGCGGGTGGTCGTCAACCCGCCAGCCGCCCGCTGGAACAACTCGCCATTCCTGCGGGTGGCCGGGTGGGGGTTCGTCCCACCACCGACTACCCGCTGGAAGAACCCTTCTTGGCACTTTTCCCACTTCGGGAATTCATCAATTTTACTCAAATTCAAGTCCAAACCCACCCAAAACTCACATCAACAATTATGGGGACTTGAATACACAGAATAACCCAACGAACAATATTAGTGAACCCTAAGCACAAGCTCTAAACATTATTAAACATAAGAACATGCATATAAACGCTCAAGGATATCAAGAAGCCATAATATAAACCCTAAAGACAAGCTCTATCAAGGCATAATCACAAGATAACACATTCATCATTCAAGGATTCCAATAAATCATAACATAGCAAGGAAAATAAGTTTTGTGAGACATGGTTACCTCTTAGCTTAATTAAACTTCTCACGACTCCTAAGATCTTTCCTTAAGGTCTCCATCCAATTGATCTTTCCTAAGTTCGGTGATGGGGGAATTCTTTGGTTGGGTTCTTGGGAGGGATTTTCAAGTACGTGAGAGGGAGAGATGGGTAGAAAGGGTTCTAAATGCTTTCTAATCCCCTTTAAATAGGTTTAGGACTCCAAATTAGAATATGAATAGTTTTGGGCCTACCTTCTTTATTCTAACAGGCTCAAAGGCTTTTAATATTGACAAGGGTCCACGGTCCATCATGGACCACACCAACTAATTAGGGGATCCCGGGCCGAATTAAATCCTTTTTTAGCTACTCTTAACGGAATTAATTAAATAATTAATTCGGATTTAAAGCGTGAAATTACGGGGTGTTACACAAATCATTCAATAGCGTCCAGAATGTCAAGAAATCATCATAGCAAGTATAAAATAGGTTTTGTAAGACATGGGTTACCTTTGTAGCCTAAACAACACTTCCTCAATCCCCTAAGCTTCTCCTTGAAGGTCTTCTTCCAAAAGATCTTCCAAACACAAACCAAAAACCCCAACAAAACAAGCAAAACTTAGATAAAGGTGATGGAAAACTAAGTAATAACACTAATAAAGCCTAGAACTTACCCTTCCTAAGGTTGTAGAGGTGGAAAGGTGGAATCATGGAGGTTTTCCTTTGCAAGGTTGGGAGGGTTTTAGGTTAGCTTGGGAGAAAGCTAAAATGTAGAGTGAAAGGTAGAGAGAAGGGTGTGTTTCTTGTCTAAGTGAGGAAGACTAAGGTGGTAGTATTAGGAAATGTCTTGGATGCCAAGTTAGAATTGTGGGAAGACTAAAATGACCTCCCTTTCTACAAACTAGTTAGGAGGAAACTAAAGGTTAGGGTACAAGTCATAAATCACAAAGTCTTTCCATTGACTAAATTAAAAGTGCAAGGAACTTAGTGAATTTAGGTCCCTCAACTAGTCCTAAGGAAAATAAGAAGGAAATTGTGTTGA